CACCCCCTCAAGTTTCCTGAAACTTTCTGATAGCAGCAGCCAACTGCCAGGTTTTAAGGCAGAAGGTCTTCCACCTTGGCACTAAAGACATCGGGGGTGGATAAGTCGGGATGGGGAGTGGCTGTCCAGTGGGGAGGATTAAGTTCAGCAGCATTCCCTTCTATTATTGTGACATTCAGAAATGCCTCCAAATCTTGCCAAGTGGGGGTGAAGGGCAGGCAAAAGTTATGCATTAAGAGTCACTGCTCTACCTTAAGAAAGCAAGATTTCCTACTCTGTGGAAGCAAATGAGGGGCCACAGTGAGTTAAAGCCCCGGACTGTGGGGCCAGCATCCCATATGGGCACCTATTTGAGTCCTGGCTGCTCCACTTAAGATCCAGCTCTCTGCTATGGCCTGGGAAAGCAGTAGAAGATGGCCAAGTCCCTGGGCCCCTGCACCCACATGGGAGACCTGGAAGAAACTCCTGCTCCTGGCTTCAGATCGGTGCAGCTCTGGCCATTGTGGCCAATTGGGGAGTGAACCAGCGGATGGAAGACCTCACTCTCTCTGCCTCTGCCTCTCTGTAACTCTGCCTTTCAAATACATAAATAAATCTTTTTTAAAAAATCCATGTGGATTATTTGCTTGTGTAAAAAATTTAATAACGACCCAGTGAGAAAGCCATCTTAATTTTGACTAATGGGATTGCTTTATCAATTTACTTCATCTCCATCAACATATAATTGACACAGTATCTCCTTTTCATAGAGCCAACATACAATTGTTGAAGAACTGGCTGACAGCACTTTTGTCACCCACAAATGAAAGATGTTGCGGTGGGCATTCAGCCTACGTCCTACATCAGAGTGCCTGGGTTCAATACTTGTTCGGTCTCTGGCTTCAGCTCCTTGCTAGTGCAAACACTGGGAAGCAGTCATGAAAGACCAAGAAACCTGGAGACCACGCAGGAGACCTGGACTGAGTTCCTAGGACCTGGCTTTGCCCAGACCCATCTCCAGCTGTTGGGGACATGTGGGGATGGGATCTCTCTCTCTCTCTCTCTCTCTCTCCCTCTCTCTCTCTTCCTCTTAAATAATTTTTAAAAATAAAAAATATTCACCAAAGACCAGCTCAAGGAACATCACACAAATCATAAAGAAAAATTAAGATGAATAGAACATTAAGAACCAAAAGCAATTTAATATCTGTCATGTGTATGGGATAACTCATGCAAAGCACAGGGAGTCGAACTTTAAAAAAGAAGTGAAGGGGCTGGTGTTGCAGACCAGTGGGTTGAGCTAGGGTACAAGTCCCAGCTGCTTCACTTCTGATCCAGCTAGTGTGCCTGGGAGGGCAATGGAGGATGCTCCAAATGCTAGGGCACCTGCACCCTTGTGGGAGATCTAGAAAGAGATCCTGGCTCTTGGCTTTGGCCTGGCCTAGCCCTGGCCATTGCAGCCGTTTAGGGAGTGGGCCAGTGGATAGACGATTTCTCTCTCTCTCTTCCTCTTGCTCTCTCTCTCGCTTTCCACCCCCCTTCTGTCACTGCCTTTCAAATAAAATAATAAATATTGAAATAAAAAGACATGAAGACAAAGGGACGTACCTCCGCAGTGCTGATCTTTCAACAATGGGGAGAACAAAAGCCAGCAGGACGTTTAGGGAGTGCGTTTGCTCATGCATGCAGTAAACTCATAACACACCCATCTGTGTTTGGGGGCTTTTTAATTTTTGTAAATTTTTCTAAATTTATTTCTGATTCAAGAGGTCTCACCTTGAAGCTCTCAGTGCAGGGTGAAGCACTCCAGGCAGTCAACAGTAAGAGATAAGCAGGCCCTTCCGGAAGTCACAGGCTTGCTGGAGACTCACGGAACTCTTTAGCGCCATCAAAACGCCACAGGGCACCAAAGTTAGCAGCACTGCTAAGTGCCCTGGGAATTCACAGGTGAGTCAGAGAGGTCCGCGGAAAACTCAGGAATCTATCCCATAAAGCTGTAATTCCACAGCACTTCACACTCATCGGCAAAAAGTGAGAAGACAAGCCGCAGTGTGAATGAGGGTGTGAACACTGGTGCTCACACCTGCAACGGGTGGCAGTGCAGATGCGTGCAGCCACTTCGGCACTGACTCCTACAGCAGACGGGAAAACCCTGTGACCCAGCAATGCCTCTCAGAAATTCATTCACTCCACACGTCTCCGGTGAGCACATATTACACGCTCTGTACTACTCTAAGCACAAGGTTCCAATCGAAGTCCGCCAGGCTCCATCCCCTAGCAACATGTGTGCTCATGTGCACCAGAAACGTGTTTAAAATGTTCACAGAGGCCGGCGCCGTGGCTCACTAGGCTAATCCTCCGCCTGCGGTGCCGGCACACCAGGTTCTAATCCCGGTTGGGGCGCCGGATTCTGTCCCAGTTGCCCCCCTTCCAGGCCAGCTCTCTGCTGTGGCCAGGGAGTGCAGTGGAGGATGGCTCAAGTACTTGGGCCCTGCACCCCATGGGAGACCAGGAGGAAGCACCTGGCTCCTGGTTTCGGATCAGCGCGGTGCGCCGGCCACAACGCACTGGCCGTAGCGGCCATTTGGGGTGAACCAACGGAAGGAAGACCTTTTTCTCTGTCTCTCTCTCTCATTGTCTAATTCTGCCTGTCAAAAAATAAAAATAAAATAAAATGTTCACAGAAGCACTGATTCTAATGACAAAAGAATTTTTTTATTTATTTGACAGAGTTAGGCAGTGAGGGAGAGAGATAGAGAGAAAGGTCTTCTTTCTGTTGGTTCACCCCCAAAATGGCCACCACAACCAATCCGAAGCCAGGAGCCAGGTGCTTCCTCCTGGTCTCCCATGGGGTGCAGGGCCCAAGCACTTGGGCCATCCTCCACTACCTTCCCGGGGCACAGCAGAGAGCTAGACTGGAAGAGGAGCAGCCAGGACTAGAACCCGGCGCCCATATGGGATGCCAGCGCCACAGGCAGAGGACTAACCAAGTGAGCCAGGGCGCTAGCCCCGACAAAAGAATTTTTGAAAACAACAGAGAAATTGTGAATTCCTGTACAAGAATAGAATCCGATACACCAGATAAAAGGCACACAACAGGCATCAGTGCCAAGGAAGACCCGCAACATTATTCCACTTACCTAAAGCCCCCAAACATCTACCTCTACAAAATGACGTAGATGAGGTAAAACTTTAGCAAAACAAGCAAACTAGACATACAAAGGTCAGAGGACAGAAGCAGGAAGAATTTGGGATGGGGCACACAGACAATTCAGTAATGACAACATTTGATTTCCAAACTGGAAGCACTTGTTGTATTGTGTTCCTTAATACCTTATACCTATTTTATAAATATTCTTTTGTATCTACTCAGCAATGCTTTTAAAATCACTAAAGTGACAAAGCTTGAATTTTGAAGGAAGGATTTGAATCAGCAGAAAAAGCAGCTGATGCGAATGAAAGAAATGTGAGAGAATTGTGTGTAATAAACACAGAAACATCGAGCCAGATCTGGCAGAGTAGGGAATTCGCCTTGGAGAGTGACAAGCACGTGACTAGATACAAAACACACAATCAGATCTTGGAGAGCTTTTTTGTGAGTTTGGGCAGCCCTAAGGACCACAGGAGACTCTTGACAGCTTAGGCTGTGGTGTAACCCAGCCAGGGCTGCACAAGGAAACTCACACACGTATAGGTGGATTGGCGTACTGGGGGTGGAGACTACAGAGGACGTTAGTAAGTTACTGCAGAAATTTAAGGATAAATTGAAATTTTTCTGGACTGAGATAAGCCCAGGAAAAGTGAACACTCTGAGAGGCAGGAACAAGGCACCTGGTACAGCAGTTCAGACACGACTATGACACCCACAAGTTCAAGTCCCAACTCCACTGCCAATGCATTTCTTGCTGATGTGCGCCCTAAGGAGTCAGCAAGTGACAGCTAAAGTGCTTGGGCCCCTGACACCCACATGGGAGACCCAAACTGAGTTTCCAGCTCCTGGTTTCAACCTGATCCAGCCCTGCTACTGGGGGAGTGAACTCATGGATGCTTGATCTCTATCCGTCTCTGTCTCCCTGCCTCTCAAATAAATAAAAACATAAACATAAAAGAATCCTAGAGGCAAGATTTGCTTAACTACTAGACTTTAAAGAGCTAAAAAAGGTTAAAAATGCTAAAACTTCAAAGTAGGATAAAAATTGAAAAATTGGCAGAACAAGAAAAATTAGAAGGAGGGGCTGGCGCTGTGGTGTAGCGGGTAAAGCCACCACCTGCAGTGCCGACATCCCATGTGGGTGCTGGTTTGTGCCCCTGCTGCTCCACTTCTGATCCAGCTCTCTGCTGTGGCCTGGGAAAGCAGTAGAATATGGTCCAAGTCCTTGGCCCCTGCACCTACATGGGAGACCCAGAAGAAGCTCCTGGCTCCTGGCTTCGGATTGGCACAGCTCCAGCCATTGTGACCATCTAGAGAGTGAACCAGCAGATGGAAGACTCTCTCTCTTTCTCTCTCTCTCTCTCTCTCTCTTTGCCTCTGCCTCTCTGTAACTGCCTTTCAAATAAATAAATACATCCTTTAAAAAAAAAAAAGAAAAAAATTAGAAGGAAAGATGATATAGTGAGTTGTAAGCATGTTGAGTTTGATGTAACAAAGCAACACCTAACTGGGAACATCCAGACGAAAACCAGAGACACTAATGGACAACTGTGTACAAATCACACTAAGATATATGTGTACAGTATGAAAAAGATAGCCACCTTTATTTCTTTGAAAATGGATTGTACATAGCAAAAGTCATAACAACTGATAAAAATTCAAAATTTCATCATAAATAATAAACCCCAGAAATTCAGAATTAAGTATGGTGTGTTTAGATATCCAAGAACCACAACACAGGGGCCTTTTCTGGAAGTGAATCACATACCCACACCAGAAAACCCACATGCCACATTCAGAAAGGGATTTGCACACAAAGGGCTGTCTTGAAATACCCGCTTAATTCAACACGCACGCCTTGATTACTTACAGTAGATGAGCAAGGCGGACATGCTATGAGGCAGTAAGGTGGGGCTGTCAGAGGTCTCACAGGGCCACGCAGAGTTGGAAAGGGCTGGGTTCTGCTTTGCTTGGTCCCTAAAATCAACACCAAGGATCTCTTGAGGGGAACGGAGACTGTTTCCCTACTTCTGAAACAGTGCTGACTTCGATGACTGTGTCTTTCAAGGTATGAATCACTAGCTTTGTGGTCACTTGCAGAAGTTTCCAGAATGATTTTTGAGGGTAACCAAGCTCGTGGTACCTGTTTGTCAACATATCCTCGAATTTCATTTGTGGAGTCAGCAGTGATGGATGGCACGGAGCCGCCAGTGAGTCAAGATATTTGCAAAAACAATTAGGAAGGAGCTGAAGCCTGATGGATTAGTGTAATGAGTTTTTCTGAAGGCAACAGTGTGACAAATATTTGCACAAGGTGAGGCGGAATGTGGAATCATTAATCAACTCTTTTTGACCTGCCAAGAGTTTTGTTTTTTATCTAGGCTGAACTAAATTTCAGAAAGCTCATTAATTTTCAAATGCAATTGGTTGCATTTTAAGCCAAAAGACACCTTAAAAAATCTACTAATTTTTTAAAAACTTAATGGGCTGATGGTAAAAGAAGTCAAAAAGAGAAAAAAAAGTCAAATTAAAAAGGCCCACAACATTACAAGAAAACTTAAAGATTTTAAATTCCAAATTTCAGAACAAATCTCAGAACACGCTGTACCACCAGAGAAAACAGGATTTCCTTGTGCAAAAAACCAGGAACTCGGTGAAGCTCTGGACCAGAAGATGACTTATGTACACTTTTTATTTTACTACCAGGTTGCTTTCAATAGAGAGCTCAACACTTATTGACTGTTAACTACCCCAAAGTACCATCGAAAGGTAATGTGGCTCACCCAGCAAAGATGTCATACAGAATTGTGCAATGAAGAAACGGCCGGGTTCAGTTTTACTCAGCCTTTCAGACCACATCAGAGGATTTATCGGAGAACTGAGTCATTTCCCTGATTTTCAAACAGTACCAGTGAGCATCTTTCTAAGGCGTCGCTCTCTAGTTTTGTGACTACTTACGAGGCTTTCAAAGATAATGGTTTTTGAGAATAAAAACTATAGACTCCAGTGTTTTTTTTTTTCTAAGTACTCAAAACCACTTATGAGACATAAAAGGATTGCATCCATGCAAAGTGATATAATTTATAGTTGTAATGAAGTTGCCTTAAACCAAATAATTGCTGGGACACTGGATTAGTGTCTTCAAGCTGAACACAGCCCCACACCCAAGAGGACGAGGTGATCAGTCCACCCTGCCTGCACAACACTCATCCCTATGAGAGCAACTCCTCTCCTGATCATGCCGTTAAAATGTCGAAGCACACTTGAACCCTGCAATAAACATGTCCAGAACTTCAACATATCTTAAAGAGACATTTAACCATAATCAATTCCACTTCCAGACAGACACACAGTGAATCAAAGATTGTCTGTTCTGATATTCATTTGTGTGTTCAAAAGTCCTAATCAAGTGCTAGGTGTAAGGAGTTGGTGGGAAGATGACGTTGAAGCAGTGTCTAAAGAAATGCATTCTTTGGGGCCAGCGCTGCGGTGTAACGAGAAAAGCCGCCGCCTATAGTGCCAGCATCCCATATGGCTACTGGCTTGAGTCCTGGCTGCCCCACTTCCAATCCAGCTCTCTGCTATGGCCTGGAAAAGCAAGAGAAGATGGCCCAAGTGCTTGGGCCCCTACACCCATGTGGGAGACCCGGAAGAAGCTCCTGGTTCCTGGCTTCAGATTGGCACAGCTCCGGCCATTGCAGCCATCTGGAGGGTGAATCAGCGGATGGAAGACCTCTCTCTCTCTCTCTCTCTCTCTCTCTCTGCCTCTCCTCTCTCTGTAAAACTCTGACTTTCAAATAAATAAACAAATCTTACATTAAAAAAAAAGGATGAAATCTAGAGAAAATTTAAACAAAGGCACTATTTGTCTCACCTGCTTCGTCCTAATTTTACCTAGCACTGAGGTGATCATCTATGTCAGTTAATAAACTTTACAGATTTTTAAAATTTTTAGTTATTTATGTTAATTTGAAAGGCAGAGAAGCAGAGACAGAGATCTTCCATCTGTTGGTCCCCCTACCCCCAAATGCCCATAACTGCCTAAGCTGGGCCAGGCCCAAGCCAAGAGCCCAGAACTCAATCCAGGCCTCCCACGTTGCTGGCAGGGACCCTAGCATAGCACTTGATCCATCACCTGCTGCCTTCCAGGTGAGTGCTCCCTAGCAGGAAACTGGAATCAGAAGCAGAGTTGGCCGGGGGGGCGGGGGGGCAGCGCCGTGGTGCAGCGGGTTAATGTGCCAATTCAAGAGCTGGCTGCTCTACTTCCAATCCAGCTCTCTGCTATGACCTGGGAAAGCAATAGAAGATGGCCCAAGTCCTTGGACCCCTGCATCCGCGTGGGAGACCCGAAAGAAGCTCCTAGCTCCTGGCTTCAGATCAGTGCAGCTCTGGTCTTTGCAGCCAATTGGGGAGTGAACCAATGATGGAAGACCTCTCTCTCTCTCTCTCTCTCTCTCTCTCCCTCTCCCTCTCCCTCTCCCCTCTCTGTGTAACTCTGACTTTCAAATAAATAAATATTTAAAAAACAATAGAGGACAACAGGGCCAGTGTCATTAGTGAGACACAGCAGGTTTCAAAAAGAAAAAACAGCGAACAAACAGTCTGTCAAAGACAGGAAGTGCTAATGGGACACCTGCCAAATTAGGGATGGCAAGGTTCTCAGGACCCAGCAAAGAACTCTCCTCCATTGATCAGAAAAGATGGACAAATACTGTAGCTCAAGTGCACTGGTAGACAGGTGCACAGTCTCCATGTAGGAACTACAACCTCAAGGGCGGAGGCTTCATTAACACACCTCCAGATGAACAGGGGATGGAGACAAGGAAACCGAACTCTGAGCAGTTTTGTCCGGTGCTTATAGTTTGCAAAGCTAATGAGATGACACGAGCTGTCTCTACGGTGAGACAACGTGAGCTAACTCTGTAACACAGAAGCCACATACAATTGTTGTTCTAGAGTGGCTTCATCCTCCAAGAAACTCACTTTTGAACCCAAAGCATCTGTGTTCGTTGCACTCCAGGAATCCAGATAGGAAACAGCAGCACCATGGAAGATGCTAGAGGAAAACAGAACTCAAAGGCGAAGTCCTTGATTCTATCCTTGAGTTACAGCAAAGAATGAATTCTGTACCTGCCATGCCCAAGACTGCACGCCTGGGCTGGCACTGTGGCACAGCAGGTTAAGCCACCACCTGCGAGGCTGGCAACCCTTATGGGTGCCAGTTTGAGTGCCAGCTGCTGCACTTCTGATCCAGCTCCCTGCTAATGTGCCTGGGAAAGCAACAGAAGATGGCCCAAGTTCCTGGGCCCCTGCATGCACATGGGAGACCTGGAGGAAGCTCCTGGCTCCTGGCTTCAGCTTGGCCCGGCCCTGGCTGTTGCGGCCATTTGGGGGCTGAACCAGAGAATGAAGATCTCTCTGTCTCTCCCTCTCTCTGAAATGCTGCCTTTCTAATAAAATAAATAAATCTTAAAAAAAAAAAAAAGGGACTGCATGTGTAACATGCCCTGCTTACACCATATGAAAGGCATGGGCAGCACATATGGAGAAGCATGTAAGCCTTTCTCATACACACCAAGCACACACCAAAAACCGCTGACAAACACGTCCCAACACAAAACTCATTGTCTGATACCTAAAATACAAGATTAAACAACTCATGCTGAGATGTGCTCCCATAAAGAGAAAATTCAACAATATAACAAAAAGGGGACAAACCTATAAAGTCCTGTCATGTATATCAATTTTTGAAATTAAAAAGATCCTTTATGTGCCAACTAAGTATGCTTCCATTATCCTATTAAATTGAGTGCTGATTAAAAACATGATGCCCAGTATCCTAAGCTGCTACAGAAATTGCGCTTCATAAATTAAGCAACACCCAAGATCTATGAGATGGTTGCCTAAAATTAGAAGATCAATTGGATGGATTTTTTCTACCGAAAGAAAAGATTCATGTCCACCACTTCCCCGAGACAAAAGCTACTTAAATATAAATTTGTGTTGCCATCAATGCAGTGGTGCATCTTGGAACAAAAACCGGCCACCACATTGACATGTAGATCAGTGGATTAAGATTTGTTACAGCAAGATCAGGTACTTTAAAGGGTGAAATGCCCAAATTTTTATGCCATAAAAATTAATCTATTATTTTCCTTTCAATATTTCTCTTCAATTACTTTTTAAATTTTTCTCTATTTTTATTTTCATTTTATTTGAATGGCAAAAAGACAGAGAGAGAGAGAGAAATCTTCCACCCATTGGGTCATTCCCCAGATGGTCACAACTGCTGGGGTTGGGCCAGGCTGAAGCCAGGAGCCAGGATTTTAACCAGGTCTCCCGTGGTGGTGACAGGGACCCAAGTACTTGAGCCATCACCTGCTGCCTCCCAGGGTGTGAATTGGTAGGAAGCTGGATTGGAAGCCAGGGAGCCGGGACTAGAACCAGGCACTTCGATATGGGATGCAGGTTCCCAAGCAGAAACTTAACAGTGGCACTAAACTCTGCCCCCAAAATTCCAGTTCTTGAGTTTGCTATATCAAAGTAGAAATGAGTTACAAAAGCTGTTATTTTTCCCCCAAAAAAGATTAAAGCCAAACTCCTCGCATGTCACTTAGTAAAAATTCAACCAATTTTTAATCAAGCACTCACTTTACCAGGATTATAGAAGCACACTTACTCGGCAAATAAAGGAGGATGGGTGTCTGTCTGATTTGCTTGGATTTATAAACACTAAAACTTGGTGGGGAGGGGGCAGCGCTTTTAAGCTACCGGTCTGCCCCTGCTAATGCACTTCCCTTCCCTCAAGCAAACCGAAGTGCAGAGCCTACACACTCAGTGGTAATGATCAAATTACAGGGGCAGGCTTTGTGTTGCAGTGAATTCAGCCACCCCTTGGGACACCACATCCCAGATCAGAGTGCCTGGGTTCAAGGTCAACCTCCACTTCCAATCCAGCTTGCTGCTAGTGAGCACTCTGGGAGGCAACATAATGGCTTATGCACTTGGGCCCCAGCCACCCACATGGGAAACCAAGATGGAGTTGCTGGCTCCTGGCTGGGACCTGGCCAGCCCCTGCTGTTGCAGCCATTTGGAGAAGAAACTGGCCAGTGGAAGACATCTCCCTCCCTCTCTCCTCCAACCCCTTTTCAAATAAACAGACATTTGGAAAACAATAACCAATTTCTGAATGAGACTTTATTGTGTAAGAAGGTGGCTTCTATTCAGCTGAGAAAGAGATGTGAGAGGGAGGAAATGAAAAATTAACTTGGAAGTGAAAAAAAATTAGCAAATAAATTATTTGTCATCAATAAACCGAATCATGAAATTAAATAGTGTTTGACACAATCAT